TCTTGAGTAGTCATCTTTAACTGTTGTTAGGTCTTAGATTTCCTCAGCAATACCTCAGAACAATTGATATGATGTTGGCTCTTTACACTGAAGCTACCAAGCATGGATGAGTCGCGGAGAAGCAATGTTTTGAAGGATCATTCAAAGACAAAAGTTGCACACCACTTCTGCTATACAAGAGACTAAAGCAGAATGATCAACGATGAGCCCACAAAAGTTCAAATATTGCATTGACACGCATAGCCTAAAAAATTTGAAATCAGGGGGAGATACTCATTAGGAGATCATCCAAAACAAATCAAAATTTTAACGAGTTAATCGAAGATTTATAGCCATCCAAGGGGGAGAGTTGTAACACTTAAGCTTTGCCTATAAAGCAAAGGAGCAAATGAAGAAAGAAAAACAACATATGGAAGGAAGAGGAAAGAAAGAGAGGAAGAAAAGATAAGAGAATAGATAGAGTTATCTTTGTACTCCTATTATTACAAATTATAAATGAAAGCATCATAGTTGCCCCGAAGGCATACTTCAGTCACACAACCTCGTAAATATTGTGTCTTATTTCATTTATTCCACTGCACACATATCGTCAATTTTTCAACACAAACAAATAAGTTCACATACTAGCAGAAGAATTACTTTTGCTACTACACCAGCACTGACAATAATCCAACAACAACAACAGCGATAAGATTCGCAGAATGCGGGTAAAGAATTGCGAAAACTAACTAAAACAACAATTCTGATACCCCGGCTTCTGGCATATCATATATGCTGGCGCGGAATACATTACCATCTAAACTAAATTCACGGCGCAGCCAGGGACACGCAGAGCTGGCCGGCCTCTTTGTTTACTGCTGAAGAACACAACTTAAGCCAACAGTGATTTTTTTTTCTGCACCAGAAGCCTTCTCGTTAGTTTTTCACTATAGCTTAAGGAACACAAACTCTTCGATATCAGGCACCTTTCCAATTTTATTTAGCAACTCCTCTTTCGGTTCCTCATCCACTCCAATCGCCATTATGGCCTTCTTCTGAATAGTTCTTCCCACACTCATAAAGTTCACATTCACATTCTCAGTCCCAAGTATGTTCCCCACCTGCCCAATCATGCCTGGCTGATCCACCTGCCGGCACAGAATGAGATTGCCCTCGAGGCTCACGTCCACGCCAAACGATCCCAACAATGTCAGATGGGGCTTTCCATATTTTACTTTCCCCTCAATGCTTATGTTTCCATTTTTGGAAACACAACTTGCGAATTTGGACTCCACATTGGTAATGTGTACCTGGATTGAAGCGACGGGGAACTCAGGGGATGAGTCTATAGCTACCCTTTCCTCGGTTATGCGTAAACCTTTATCCTTTGCAACGAAATCTGCATTGACTAGATTGATAAACGAGGCAGATATTGGTTCGATGATGCCTTTAGTGATCATGGCCCTGAGAAGCCTGGTATCCAAGTCATCAGGGTCGCGAGCTGTTTTGTAAACCACCCTCACAGATGTGATCCCACTCCCTCCTGCTACTAATTGTACAGCCAACTTCCCTAGCTTCTCGGCTAGCACAACATAAGGAGACAACTCAGCCAGAACCTGAGAACATGAAAAATTTGTGAGCTTAACTAATCTTATGCGAATCTTGCTATTCCTCTTCTATTAATAAACAAACATACCTCAGGAGGGACCATCGGAGCGTTGACAGCAGTTGCAGAAAGTTCACCTTTCAATGCTCCAACTACAGCCTCGGCTATTTCAATGGCAACACCTTCCTGAAAATATTACATTTCGTGCAGAATTCGATGAGTTAAAGGATGTAAGATATATCATTCGATAAAGTTTTGATCAGTATCAGAGAAATTAAACGTGCCTGTGCTTCCTTTGTGCTAGCTCCTAGATGAGGTGTGACTGTGACATTCTCGTGTTGCACTAGCTTGCTATCTTTGGATGGAGGCTCCTCTGCGAACACATCAAGGGCAGCCTGTTCGAAACAATGTAACAAACATAACCACTAGTTTAGCATGCATGAAAACAATACTAATGTTGTTTCTCCCTCAATAGAATAATGAAGAAGGAGAAAAGTGGTGTGCAAAAATTACTTTGTGCCTCGAAAACATGCTTATACAGTCTATGTTCAACATGGTCAGCTTTGACATAAATTAGAGGATCATACCTGAGCAACAATTCCATTATCAAGAGCTCTCACTAGTGCATCTTCATCAATGACTCCACCCCGGGCAACATTAATGATACGGACTCCCTTCTTCATCTGCGCGAATGTGTTGTCGTTCAACACCTTTGATGTAGTAGGAGTCAGAGGCATATGCAGTGAGATGAAATCTGCAGTGCCAATTGCCTGCTCAAAAGAGACCAATTCCACACCAACAGCGCGTGCTCTGTCAGCCGGGGCATAAGGATCATGCGAAATAACGTGCATTCCCAAGCCTTTCGCACGTCTAGCAACTTCGGATCCAACTTTTCCAAATCCCATTACTGCCAATGTCTTCCCAACCAGAGAGACGCCAACGTACTTGTTTCGTTGCCACTTTCCTGCAAAAATCCGGCACTAAATTTAGCATTATCTGCAGGATATAGCAGTAAAACTTCAAAGGAAATATGCAGTCCATCCAAACACTTGCGCAAAGGAAGTGTGTCAACGTGTTCTTGAAAGGCTCAAAACTAAAACAATATGTGTCAACTAAAATTCTCTACGATCGATTTAACGAACAAAATTAGCGAAATTTAATGATCTGACAAATTATGGTAATTGGAATTAAGGCTTTTTCATCATTCAATATGTTTAGTCCGGAAACAATCATACTCAAACATTTTTACTTCTACATTTATCCTCCTGTTTCCAACCTGTAATTCTCCTTTGATTTATTCAGTCCAAAATCAGAAGAAACTAAAGAGCGCATGGAAATTAAAACGGGAGTGCGGAAATCATTTCTCAATTAGAATCCCGATCAAATTCTGTCAGGGTACATTAACAGTGCTAGATTTCCTCAGAACCTCAACCAGTCATCTATGTCTTTGATAATCAAAAGGGGTCCCTTCATTCCTAGCTATTAGCAGAGAAAACTATACCTGATAGAATTTGATTCCTGTTCTACTTTGGAATAAAATTGTTCCTGCATGCCATGCTCACATGTGAAGCACGTGCACCTACCTCTGGAATGTGTCGGTTGAACATCATCCATTCAAATTTTTTTTTTTTTTTGAACACCCATTCAAATTATGTATATGCAAATATATAGATATACAGAGTCGTGTTTGTTCACTTGTTGAGTAGGACAATCATATTTCTACCCAGAAAGCGACGGATGGCGTATAAATTCAATGCACACCCACTAAATACAAAGAGTTTGAAAAAGTACGAAAGCGGAAACCCGACCCCGGCATGTCATGTGACATCAAATCAGCAGAACTTTAAGCCAACAATGTTTACTTTTCACAAATTATTTTCCTCATGTGAGAAAATAAACCCATCAAGTCTATCTTTTAGCTTAGATTTTTGATCCTGAAAGGAACCTATCCTCGAATAACAATACATAGAAAAATTACGACAAGAGAACTTATCTTTAAGTGACAATATATAGACAAATTACGACAAGAGAACCTATCTTCAAGTGACAATACATAGACAAATTATGAATATCTTCTAATAAAATATCCCTAACACAAAAACTCTTGATCTATGTTAATTGAAAGTTAAATCTACAAATTTAGAATTTTCCTTGTTGCTAAAAATTCACGGATAAGTGATTTTCTTTTCACTTCTCAAATCCAATAATGAACCCAAATAGTTGGCCTACCAAAATCTGTGCTTGCCTAATACGTGTAATTTGCAGATACTTGACAAAAAAAAAAAAAAAAAAGTCATATAACAACAAAAATTAAATGTGTTAATTACCAGCTTTGATGGAAGCATCAGCTTGTGCAACATTTCGTGACATGGCAGTGAGCAGAGCAATCCCGTGCTCTGCTGCGGCCACGGTGTTTGCCGTGGGCGCATTAACGACCAAGCATCCAAACTCCGTAGCCGCCTGCAGATCCACATTGTCTATCCCCACACCAGCTCTTCCCACCACCTTCAACCTCCCTTTGGCGGCCTCAAACACCTGCCTGGTCACCTTCGTGCCGCTCCGAACAATCAAAGCGTCGCATGTCGAGATCTTGGCGCAGAGCTCCTCAGGGGAGAGGTTGTACGCGCACTCCAAGTTGCCAAAGCCACGTAGGACTTCAAGACCGGCTTCTCCGAGTTTTTCGGTGACCAGGACGGTCGGAGTTGAATCTGAGGACCTTGGATTGGGAAGCTGGAAGGACTTGGAAATATATGTGTCGGAAGATGACTCGGCTTTTTTTAGAACGTTGGTTATGAGAAAAGAATGGAAATGCGAATTATGGGAACGAGAACGGGAGAGTTTTAAGCAGATGGGGCGGGAGGTGGCGCGGAGGAAGGAAAGAAGGTAGGGTATGGACGGTGTTGGTTTGGTTTGAGACGGCGTAGGGGAGGCGGTGAAGGCGGAGGAGGAGATGGCCTTGATGGAGGAGGAAGCCATGGAAGCTGGAAGGTTTTTTTGTGTTTTTTTTTTTTTTTTTTCTTGGAAAGTGTGTGATTGTGGTGGGTAGGTGTCTTTAAAAGTTTCTGGGATCTTAAAGCAGAGTTTTTAATTAACCTAATTTGGGGTAATTTTTTAACTTTTAACTTTTTTACTTAGGTAACTAAGAATTGATATTCATCCAAAAAAAAAAAAAAACTACTAAGAATAGGTATGTTTTGGAGAGTAAAATTTGTTACTTTTAATTACAGCCACTGCAGTTTTTGTCCTCTAAATCATGGGTTGCAGTTGCACGACTATATTTACGTCTAGTTTGGGGTTTTTTTCTGTGATATCCCGTCCCCAAAATTATTATTTTATTTTATTGTTGACGTATTTCGAAGATTTGATTGGAATTAGTTCTTTATTTCTTCAAATTTAAGAAAACGAAGTGAGGGGTACTTTAGTCATTTCTAATTTCTCTCGACCTTTTCGGTCAACTCTTAAATTGGTTAGGTAGAGTTCGATTCCATGAGCGCGTAGGAGTAAACAGATCTTATTTCCGAGCCCGAACGGAGAAATTAGAGTCGTTTAAAGTTGATGGCATTTTGGTAATATTACCAAATTGCTATAATTTAAGTGGGAGGGAAACCTCCAGGAAAAGGGAGAGAGTTTTTCGGAAAAAGGGGGGGAAGAGCTGCCTAACCCGTTTTTAGGGGAAATTGATCAATAAACCCACCAAACTTGACCCGATTGTATCTTTTTCATCCGAGCTCCGTTTTGGATGATCTTGGTGTCCATGGAAAGCTCTTGACGAGCCCTATATTTCTGTGATTTTAGATTTCCCCATTTCTTTTCCATCTTTGCAGCTCAAGGTCGCAAAGTCCACGACTGTTCCGGCGGTTTTATCATTTTTTCCGGCGATTCCAGCAACGATTTCCTTTGAGTGAGGTATGAAACTTCATCTACTCTTCGTAATCTTCAAGTGGGTATGCTTAGTTTGTGCTTTCGTATTCGTTTTAGAGTTGGATGTTTAGAACACCTAGAAATCCGGTTTTCTCCGGTGAAATTGGACGATTTTCGGTTAGAATTTATCGTCGGCCTAGTTGTGAAAAGTGTTTCCCTTGTTGAGCTCTAGCTACCACATAAATTTGAGCTCCTCTAGTTAATGTTGAAATTCGGGGTTTGTAAACCCTCCATCTTGACTTCCACCGCGTGTGGCGGTGCGTGGGATCGTTCACGAGTGTTGTCTAGGTTTTAAATACCTTCTAGTGACCATGTGAACCTATGTCTAACTTGGTTTCCAAAGATTCAATTGTTGGGTGTGTAGATCAAATTTCTTGATCAAGGGTTTGGTTCAAAAGGTCAATTTCTTGTTAATTTTGAGTCATGTTAGTTTTGGATGTTGTGTACATGACTTCTGGACTATCTGGAAGTATTTTGGGATTTGTTATATGAATTGGAAGTGGGTTGTTACGTAAGTTACAGAAAATTGACTTCTTTGCAAAGAAAACTCAAGTTTCGAGTAGCCTTCTTTGGCTCTTAATTTCTAGGCCTTTATATGCTCCTTTGGAGAAAATTTTTAGTGTGTTGAAAGTACATATGCTCATGATCGTAACCCAATTGTTTTCACTCAATTTCGTTGAGTTTTGGTTGATCAAAACCTTCTTTAAGTTTGGGTCGCGGGCTGCCAAACAGCAGCAGAAAATTGGGTTTCCAGTTTCAAGACTCCGTTTTTCCTTTTGGCATAACTTCCAATTTAGAGCTCCGTTTTCTACAAACTTTGTATGCTTTTAAAGTACAGAACACAAGCTTCAAAACCCATATAATATCACATGATTTGGTTTAGTTTGGAATGTTCCAAAGGGAACCTAAACTTGGTCTAATAGTGCTGTTTTCTGCAGATTGTGTGGAGAAGTAGAGTACTTTTTTCGCCACACCTATTTTCTTTTCCAGATTCCTTTCTAATCTTCTTTACTACTAATTGAGTGATATTATTTGAGTGGTAGATTCCATAATCAGTGTACTTTCTTTAGATAATATTAATTTTGTTCCTTTGAAGAGCCTAATCGGAACACAAAAGTACAACCAAGAGTATAAATACAAGTAGCACACATAACTAACCAAACTAAGCTATTAAAATGTGATTATTTTATAATTGGCCATCGATCTATTTTTATTAAATGTGGTTTGATTATGGATGGGTAATATTTGTGGGAAAGTGATTCGAATTGCATATTGAAATGTGAAGTATGTATACATACGCCATAGACCCATGTTAATTAAATATGAATTCTATTGAAGTGTTATTTTATTTCTGGCCAGTGATCTAATTTCAGTAAGTATGATTTGACTTGTGGATTGGAATTATGGTTTGTATTGTATCATTGGATTGATGTGATGAAATGCGAGAGCTAGTAGTGGACCATTAATCCATTGTTATGGGGTTCGTTGCTTCGAAACATGTTTCAACCCTCGTGTCATTATTCATTCTCGTTTCATTGAGTCTTTGTATCTTGAGTAACTTCATCCATGTCTTGTTTTATCGAGTGGTGTTACACATTCTACTCCGCGATTCCGTTGAGTGATGGTCCGGAATCGTATCCTGGTTTGGATTCCGTTGAGTGATGGTCCGGAATCCTTCCTACTTCATTCCGCGATTCTGTTGAGTGACGGTCCGGAATCGTATCTTGGTTTGGGTTCCGTTGAGTGATGGTCCGAAATCCCTCTTACTCCGCGATCCCGTTGAGTGATGGTCCGGGATTGTATCCACCTTAGTTCATGGAGTTTAGTTTGAGATGGTTGCAAAGTGTAGGCTTTGGATGAACAGTGTCGCCTAATTCTACTTTCATTGTGTGTATGTGAATATAGGTGTGAGATGTTATGGTCGTTTGAAATGAACTTTTGGATGTCTGGGTGCCTCCCTCGGAGTTTTCAAAAGTTTGGTATTGATTTCCTATGAAAGATTTATATTCAAGGTTTATAAATTATGATTGATGGCTGGGTTTATTATTGTATCACTTGCTTATTTTATTGTCCCTCACCCGAGCCTCTTAGTTTATCTGAGTGCCTGAATTGCCAGTGCACCAATTCCATAATATTGGCATTGACTTTACATATGACAGGTCTGGGTAGATTATGAGAAACCGCTTGATATTTTGGTTCCGTTGAGTGGTCCGGAACTCAATGTTGTTGGATTCCGTTGAGTGGTCCGGAATCCTTGCCCTTGTTCATTCTGTAAGGTGATCTTAGAATCCTAAATTCGAGTAGATGGGAATTACCCACAATAGATATTGTGAAAATAAATTAGAATTACCATGTTATTATTCTTAACCCAAATTGGGAATTATGTAGAGTTCTTTAATTAATTCGTGAAATGATATGTTATATCACTGATTGATTAACGTAATTAAATGTTAATATTGTACTTTGTGATTCCTTGATATGTTATAAGCTATATATTGAAATATAATGTTGGAAGTATAGTGATTAGCATGATGAAGTGAAATGTGATTTGACTTGTGTATTGAAAATGGTTGTGACATGTGATTGAAACGCATATTGAATTGCTTGGGAGATGTGAGGTCTAGTAAATGACCGATGACCCATTGTGATGTGGATTTTACTCAATATTGCTTCGTTTCGTTGAGTTTCGTGAATTGGGTAACTTGAATCATGTCTTGTTCCTTCGAGCCGTTGTTATGTTTCTTGGACTTCTGTTCAATTTAGGTGGATTGGAACTGAGTTCTGTTTGGATTTCGTTGAGTGATGGTCCGGAATCCCCTTTGGAGCCTTGGTTCGGTGGGTGGTCCAAAATCCCCTTTTCCAAAAATGTAGTCTTCAACTGAATTGTGTTGCTCTAGCCTTGCACTTCGACTTGTGGTATGTGTTATTGATTGTTGTGATTATGGAATGACATTGGATATGAGTGGAGTTATCATGAGTATTTTAGTTGATTAATATTTCTAAAGAATAATATGTACTTTGTTGATTCTTAAATATGTTACACGCTATGAAACGCGAATTTATGTGGGAACGTGATGATTTATTTGATGGATGAAGTGGAAATGTTAATCGTCATGTGGGATTGTTATGTTGGATATCTTTGTTATTGTTATAATTAGACTTGTTGATAAACGTGGCTCGAGAATGGTATTGTACATCGTTGGTTCTTTGAAATGATATATGTTGTGAATTGCGGTATCATGTTGTGACCTAATGGCCTATATATTGATGGAGGGGAAATCATGATTTCCAGATGGGTTGTTATGTAACCTTGTGTCTAGCATTTTCATGCTTGTCAAGTTCTATTGATTGAATGAGAAATCTTATACCTTTTGACTTAATCGGACTGTGTTATATGTCAATTATTGTGCATGACGAACTACGAATGGCTTGATCCCTGTTTAGAGTACGTAGGCAGTCTAACGAGGAGGTTAGATGCAGCCATAAAGCATACGAAAAATAACTATGTGATTCGATTATTGAGTTGTGCTTGCCCATATCTCGTAGGTGAATATGATAGATACGGATTTTTGGTGACGTCATGTGTCAATTCTGGATGTATGTCGGGATTGGAGCGTGACATTTTCTTTTTTTTTTCCACCAAAATCTATTTCACTTTAAAATTAAGCAGTAAAAAATATAAAAAATAAAATATTCTGCTTATTTTAAAAGGAATGGCTTCCAAACAACAATTTTAAAAGTAGCATGTAAGTTGCTTTTGAAAACCACTTTAATAAAAGCGCAGCTGAGTCTTTAATAAATATTTATAATTCATATAATGCGATCATTAATTTTAGAGTAATGTTAGAGAGACTAAATTTATAGACAAAATATCGTAAACTAAATAACATGAAAAATGAAAATTAGATTATGATTTAAGAGTTGATAAACGTGTCCATTCTTATTGGTGACATATCATTTAGTTTGTAAATTTTGTCTACAAATTTAATCTCCCTAGCATTACCCTTAATTTAAAAAATAACATTATTTATTATTCTATACACATTTTATTATTGGAGAACAAAGTGAGCAACACCACCTACCACTACAAACCCTAAACCCTCCACAGCAACCACCACGACAACCAAACGCACTACTAGAACCACCACAACCGCAATTGCCACTACCATCGTTTCTGTCACCACCACCACCATAAACACAACCTCCATCATTGCCACCAAAACCACAACTGTCACTATCGCTGTTGTCGCTACCCTTACCATTGCCCTCACCACTGTTGTCGTCATCACCACCCACCTTATCATGTCTATTTTTGTTATTATATACATTATACCACTTTTACTTTAAAATTGACCAAATGCTTTTACATTACTTTTCATACAAAAAAAAAATACAATTTATCAAACGCTCAACTACTTTATTTTGCAGCTGATTATTCTTAAAGCATAGTAGAAGCAGTTTTTTTTTTTTTTAAAAAGCACAGCATAAGCAGTTTTTTTTTTGGGAAGTGTTATTAGCACTCCAAAAATCTCTTTCTACACTCCTCACAAGCGTATTTTTCTTTCCTAATATAGAAAGTTTAGAGTGTAGAATGAGATATTTGAAGTGCTAATAACAATTCTCTTTTAAAAAAATTATAAAAAAAAAAAAAGAAGAAAAAAAAACACACCAATTCCAAACTGCCCTTAGAGGGCAACATGTAAAAGTAAATTTTTTCCCTTATATTCTGCAAGTCCAGTATTATACTCTCGCCCATGAGATATGAAGGTAAGCTTGTAAGATTATATTAAAGCTGCACACGTATTTAACGTCTCTTATGGATTAAGAATTGCAGAGATTGACTTCAATAATACTTGTATGCTAATAAGGAGATTGTTTTACTATATAACAAGGTTCTGTTACTCCCTGCTCTCATATTTGGTCGTGGAAATAACCCCTCTAGCCTCATTGAATAGATTTGTGACAAATGCACAAGATCATTATTTATTATGGCATCGTCACGATACAAGGAGAGATGTAGACGCTATGAAGATTACCCAATATTATTTTCCAACTCAAGGTAGGCAGATGTTTTAGTCAACAGATCCCTCTTCCCTCTTCCGAATAATCGTCTCTATTTCTATATTTTCGGAAATTATAGGTACAAAATTAACAAATCAATTGTACAAGGCTTCTTTTCTTTCTCTACCAAAAGATGATTTGGGTGGGAAAGGGATCCGAGTGGATCCCTTTCCACCAAATCCATCAAGTTCAGAATCCGGATCGTTGAAATTTAATTCAGTGGCTACAATTATTATAACTTTTAAAAGGGCCTCCTGTTTGTAGCCGTTGGATCAAATTTCAATGGTCCGAAACCTGAATTTGGTAGATTTGGTGGAAAAGGATTCGAAGATGATCCCTTTCCATTTAGGCGATTACGGGTCCCGTGATTGGTTGGCTAAATGGACAAGTACCTTTTTTATTATTATTTTTTTCAATCACAAGTCACTACTTTTTCAAGTAATAAAAAACTCTATGAAAAAGTAACATTTGTTTGAGATTTGATTGTACATATGTAAACACGAAAATTCTGTAGGAAATAACAAGAGAATATGTGTACAAAATAATTGTATTGTATTAATCTGAATGTAGGATTACAATCTCTGTTTACAAAGTTTCCTTTGATTCGATCTCCGAAGTGTCAGGTGTGTAGTGTTGTTAATCCAAGGGTCGCAATGACTTGATCTTGGATGAACGGATGCCGCAAGGTTTTGGCTGTAGGCAATGGAGAAACCGGCACATGTAGGGGTGCTTGGTGGTTCTTCACGAGTTTGACGAAGAACGCGAAGGGTTTTCCAAGTCCTCTTCAATGTTTGGGGATTTGAGAGCTTAAGAGCTTCAGAGTTTCAAAACTGTCATCTGGACGTAAATAATTTTCTGAACCATTTTCTTTGTCTAGACTTTCCAAGCCTTGCCTACGGATGAATTTGGATTTGATTGTGGGTTTGATTAATTGACGAAAGAACCAGAACTTGATTTGTGGGCCGATTCGTGATTTGACTCAATCAATTAACATTTGATTTGATTAAATTAAAATCAAATAATTCATTTCAACCAAATGTTGACACATGTCCTTCTTGAATACCCATGTGATTTTGATGAGTCACTCCATGTGTAAGATTTATGAGGCACATAGCGGGTACCATGTATGCCCTGACATGTTGAAACTTTAATGCATTTGTGAATATTTATTTCATCGAAATTTCGATGTTTGCAACATATTCTAGCAAAATCTATGGTAGTTTTGCTTCTATGTGAATTCTCATTGTGTGTAAATGCAGTTGTAGTCATTAGATTGACGAGTTCATCATTCTTCAGTAAATTTTTTTTTATCTATGGTTTGGTGGTGTTCTGAGAGGGGAAAGGGGAAAATGAGGTGAGGGAGCCTCGAACTTCCTATAAAAGGGTCACAAGAGTGCTTGATTTCCACTATAACATTAACCAACCATTTTTCGTTTGATGGGGGCCTCGGGGTGTACCCCTTCCTAGGGGGCACCCTGCCTCATTTTTCAGTAAACTAATTACAAATCATTATTTGTGTATACAGTCAATGCAATCAAAATTACACTAAAAAAGCACACCAGTTATTATTGATTAGTTGGTAGTGTAACTAACATATCAACTCAAAATATAATCATTTCAATCCCACTACAATATCTCTCTCATCAGTGATGAATAAGACCACTTGGAACCTCTTTTTCGTTAGGCACCCAATCATTCAACTTTGTCCCTTCATGGGTCCTTTCCTATCTCCTAAAGTTTAAGTTTACTTCAACTTTTAATTGGAGAGATCATATTCGGAAAAAAAAAAATATTAGAGAGATTATATTTTATAAATCATATCTAAATTATCTCGTTAATAGACATGTGATCTACTTTTTTTCTTTATTTGTACAACTTACTGTTTTCTCCGATTCAAACACCTAAAAAATGCGTATATATAGTCTAAATTACAATAGTGGTCCATGTATACATTTGTTTTGCTTTCATTTTAATTTTATGGTAATCCAATTTCTTCCCCTATTCCATTCTTATCAATATGTCAGCTTTTCAACTTGTTTTGTCATGTAAATGCTGCATGAAATGATCATTTTACCGCTTTAATATACGTCAAGTGGACAAAAGTGTGACAAAATGACTAAATTGAGACACATAACGCATTAGACAATTATATGATTAAAAAACTAAGTTAGCATGAGAGAAATGAACCACGAGTTTGCGTTCAAAGAATTCATTCATACACCATTTATGATATGTTCTAAACTTTGGAGAGAAAGTGGAGGACTCATCATAATACTGTTAATTACATGTAAATTTTCTCATTTATTTTAGCGTATATTGTCTATTTATCTATAAGATTTTTTACAACAGGGTTGTAACTTTGTACATGTATATAGAATCTAAAATTTTATTCGCTAGGGTTGGTGGTGATGGATGAGTGCTCATAGAGAATAATTATCGGTTGGGTTTGGGAACACGATCTATAAATCATTAACATTTGACATTTAAATATGAACATTACACATGCTCATCCACTGAGAAAAAAAAATTTGGATCCAATCAACTTTTACTAAGACTAAAAAAGTACTTGTGGGTTTAGCATCAATTAATTATTTTGGAAACCTTTAAGTAGTGGGGAATCCATAATTTGAACCTTGGGAATTCTAGTGTTAAAAACAAATTTTTTTAATAGTAATAAAGCGTGAAGTGTGCAAAAAAAAAAAAAAATCAGTTTATTGACTTGGTGGGCTTGTTGGGCTTGTTATGCACATGACAACATATATCAGCATATGACAAAGCAATCTGATGAGTGATGAGAGAATTTGTCGAGTGTTGTTGACGCAACACATTGAGATATACCTAGCATGCATTACATCACACATTTAGTAAGCATGAAAAGCTCCGTGCCAAGCATTTGGAGGGTTCTTAGAAAACCTTAACATGTATATTTTTCGGACTTGGTGGTCCTGTGACCTCCTTGGTCTCTATTTCCATCTGCCCCTGCCTCTAAGAAACTTGGATGTGGTTAAAGCTTCCTTGACCTTTTATGATAAAAACTCACATCATAGAGCATTATTAGATGTTTTTGATACAATAATATGAACAAATTCATCTCCATGCGACATTGCATTATTGATTGTGACATCACTTGACAGTAAACGTTGTTTATTGTTCTTATATAAAATGTTATTATTGTT